GAACTGCAGCAGCGCTTTTATCTCCAAATAGCTCTTATCCTGAAACTCTATCTGTTGCCGTAACTTCCACTGACCTGCCAGGAGGGGAGGACAGGGGGCGATGCAGCCCCACGCTGGAGTTCAGGTCATGATAGTAGGGTTGGCTGGGCATGTCCGCCATGGAGAAGTTTACCGTTGCACCGTGGGTAATGGGCACTGCAAAGGACACAGAGAAAAGGAAATCAATGTCAGTACCGTCAGACTGAGCACCATCTTTCGCCCAATTAGATGCACAATGGCTTCATCGGCTTGTGTGTTTAGAACAGGCGAGTTATTTTTATTTGGCTAGATTTCTTTTTGGCTTTACAACAAATTAAAGAGTGAAATGTTTTTCTTTTTGCATTAAATGCCTCTTGTGAAAGTTAAAACGATGCCTTCGGATTGCTTCTAAAGAAACTCGTGGCAAACGTTCACAATCGCCAGCATTTCCTTCACTTCTTTGTCATCGGGCGCAAAACTTGGCAGTTTCCTCACATAATGATTTACAGTGGAAAAGGTGTTGTTTTTCTCACTGCGGTCAAGGTGAGGGATATTGTTTCAGTGGGGGCCAGGCCTGTGTTTACAGAACAAAAGAGGTTCACCACCCAGCTTCTCTCTCTCTCACTCTCTCCCGCTCTCTTTTTCCTCTGCCTCTCACTTTATCTCTCTTCAGCGTGTGGCCCGCAAGGCAGCCTGCAGCTCGAGCGGTCGGTTGGTTTGGAGTGGATGAGAGGATGGAGTGTGTGGCGCCGTCTGTTGTGGTCTGAGGTTCACCACTGGCCTATCCCTCCGCCAGCCTCCACCCTGGCAGCCCGCTGTAGCCCTGGCAAAGGCCCCTACCCGCTGCTACCCATACCGAGCTGTCTGTGGAGGAATGCACCCGGCCCGCGGACGCTTAAGATGAGACCATTGTTTTTATTTTGTCTGTTTTTTTTTAAATTTTCTCATTCATAGCTTTGAACATTCCCGGCGATTTCTCTGTGTGCTGGTTTCTCTTTATGGCTCTCTCCTCTTGGCTCAGCACAATATTTGTTGACGATGCCACTTGGCCACCCTGCCAGTCATCTCATTCGATAATCTGGGCTTGGACATTTAGGCGAAAAAAAACCACCCCAAAACAAAAACATTAAATAGACAATGATTCCGAATCAGCTGCAGGAGAGGATTTACTTTGAGTAAATTCGCTCAACAGTTGCCCGTGCATGCCCACATTTTCTGTTGACAAAATATTGTTACACTTGCAGTCGAGGCTCCTGTTGCAAATAATGAGCGTCCTCGGCGAAATACAGGACTGCAAATCAGCCTTGAACTCCGCAGCCCCCCTTTCATGGACTTCAAAGAATGTCTCAACGGCCTGGAGAGTTGGGAGAGAAGCGCGATGACGGACGAGCGGCTGCTTAGATATCTTCCCAGGGAGCGACTGGCTGAGTGAGTGACAATTCCTGTGCGTCCGTCGACCTTTTTAAAATTCCAGCGCGACTTCAGTCGGCTTTAGTGAAACCAGGCTCGGTCACATGAGAGCAAACATGGCAGCTCAGAGGCCATCTGGTCAGGGGGCACATTAAACACTAAACAAAAACACAGAGTCTTTCAAAAGGATATTCAGTGTGCGAGCATGGAAACAAGTAGGTCCTGTCTTTCACAGCACAATGAACGAGACAGCTGAGACAAAGTGGCTCACGCTTCCATCAGAGACGTGCTATGCACTACATAAACTACAAAAAAATTCAGATTTAATCAGCATTTGTTGTTAGCATTGCAGTGAGATTTCTTCCAAATATAAAGACATACTTAAACTACATACAATTATTTTCTCCTACTCTCCTCCTAAGTCCATGCTGACATATTAATATTGTTTGTTTTGTCTACTCCAAAAACCCAAATAATTTCATTGAGAAGCTGGAAGTGACATATTTAATTCATAAGTGATCTCCATGAGTCAACAATAAATATTTCCTAATTTATGTAAGTATCCCTGCTTATTCCACACCACGCTAACCATCGGATTAAAACTAGCTGGAAGACGGCGCAAGATACAGACAACACATGGAGGTATGTTTCTTTAAAACGCTCGTTGTTGAGGGTGACTGGGGTCTTTGTGCACCGCAGGCGCATTCGCTACAGTTACAGCTCAGAGGCAACACAGGTAAAAGGTGCCTTGACGTGCCCTCAGTTATCATTGGAGTCCTGGAGGGACGACCGTTAACGGCTCTGCGCGGGGCGGACATGTCTATACAGATGATTGCAGGCTCATACAGACAGCTGTGCACTCAAGTGCTCTTTTTCTCGCAAAAGCAGACCAGCCAAACTGGATTATCCACACTACAGCTGTGTGGTGGGTTTCAGTAAATACAGAGATTATGAGGAAAACAGAATTTTAAGTGGCTGTTGAGGGTTAAGACACTTTTATTTGTTTTGTTTTGTCTTTCTTAAATCTGTTTTTTCTCTTCATATGAAAACACATTAACACACAGAGCCTGTGCACACCCACACGAGTCTTTTCAATCGTCGTACCTTCAGTTCTATTCGCTAATTAGACCCCAGTTGCCTGTGAATAGACCGACAGAGTGTCAGCTTTTTGACCTTGATGTTAACTTTGTTAAACCTGTTACACTGTCAACATATCTCTAAAGCTCCAGCTTGGCTCCACCCGTGTTTAACATAACCACACGTCTGATCAGTGATAAGAGAAAGACACACACATTAAAAGCAATATAAGAGCTCTATACTCACTTCTGGACACTCGCACTAGTTCTGCAACACTGAAGACTCCTGATTTGATGAAACTGTCTTCCAAATACACTGAAACATAATAAGCAATGATTAATGAAGCTGTGACTTTCTCGTGTAATTATTTGCTTGTAAAATGAACAATAACACGAGATTTATTACGGCTATTAAATTATTTCATTAGACATGGATGGAGCTAAAGAACCTATTTTATTTCTTCTTTTTTATTATGATTTTTTCCCCCTTTCAAGTTGTGTTTGCATGCAAATTGATTAGTATCTTCTTTCAGTCAGGGAACTGTTCAAACAAAACAAACTGTCATTTAAAAACATTTTAAATTTGATATAAAGATATCATAAGATTATAAAGAATGTATTATACATTAAATTATGGATATAATTTATGGATTATGGATTTAGGAACGGGCAGTTTTTAAAAAATCTAAAAAATGGAAAAGGAAAGTGCATTGGTCACTGTCTATTTCCTGAAAGCGCCAATTATTATTATTAGTATTATTGTTGTTATTTTTTCCATCTAGTATTTTAAGCACAAATGCGGAGTGACTCGCTTTGTTTCTGGCCTGACATGTTTAAACAAATGCCGAGGACAAAACCATTCCTGTGCAGCGCAGCAAAGAGTGACAGGACAGGTGTGTGTGTGTGTGTGTGTGTGTGTGAGAGGCGGAGGACACGCGGGCTGCCGCTGCTGTGAGAACTGAAGACGAGTCCGTGCTGAACAGCAGGTCCTGCCCGTTTGATCAATACAACGGTAGAACTTCACCACTGTAAATATTGACACTGTTACGATATAACAGGATGAAATAGCTGCAGAAAAGCGTAATCATAAAAATGATCATTTGCAGAACCTTAGACTGCTCGAGTTTTCTTTTTAAACGAAGCTGCTCTGAATGAGGTAGAACAGGGTTATTTAAGCACAGCCAGATTTTTTTCTTCTTCTGTTTTTTAGAAAACCATTTTCAGACTAAATAAAGTACCCCTAATGTGTGTGTGTGTGTGTGTTTTTTCTTCCCCGGTTTAAACTATAGTGTGTATGCCCTGCCCAGAACTCATCAGCGCTAATCAGATGCTGTCAGTCATGTAAAATACTCAGACAAGTTACTGACACCCAAATGAAGCTGGCTCTGCTTTGATTTAAAGCCAAAGGCACTCGGGCTGTGCCAGAAAGATAGATGGGCATCTCGATTGGCACCTACTAAGCTTAATGCCTCAAGTGAGCCAATGGCTTTTGCGAGGAACTGTGCCACTGCCGAAGGCCTCCCAGGCCTGAGTCATTGGCTCGCTAGCATGTTTTTCTTGGCACCGGTATCAGCAGAACCTGCTCTTGAGGTAGAAAACTAATTATACTTCTCAAACTATTTTCATTCCAGCACTGTGACGACACAGTGCAGGTCAGTCCAGGGGAACAACGGCACTGTCAAAGAATATTCTCTACAGCTCAGCTCTGCTGGCTCACCTTGACGCACTCAACTACCAGCCAAAGGCGCAATATGCTGTAACGTTTTCACTCCAGATCTTTTTGGATTTTTTTTGAAAACACAGAAGCTCCGACTGGGGTGATGAACTCAAATGTTATTCTTTCCTTAGCCTACATAAAGTTTACAACTTAGGCTTTAGCCAGGGAATTTTCAAAAGTGATACTAACTTGAATTTAACTTTTTTTTTTTTAACATTTACCAACTGTCTGTTTAGCTAAATCTGGTTTGTGCTGACGATTTCTTTGGAGTATTCACACAGAGGACCATCTGGTATATACCTCGGGTGTGCTTAAACATAGCTTGTATACTTAGGTAGTTTCCCTTCCAGTCACAGAGGTTAGCACACTGTTTAAACTCAGTAGGTTACAGTGTAGATAAGCTGCTGTACAGTTGGAAAGCTGCACAGAAAACAATGGACTGATGACAGGAGGGAGGATGACTGGCACTGTACATACCTGGAAGAGGGTTCTTGCCTGGCTCATTGTTACTTGGACTTCCTGACTGCTGAGAGTCTGCAAACACACAGAAAGAAGGGCCGGGGATTAGCTCAAAAAGAAGGCAGCAACGTCTCGCTGAAAGTGAAATATTTTCTTGTCAGCGCTGATTATTTCCAGCAAAGAGGTCAAATCTTGCAACTTGAAAAATTACATAACTATGCAAACCGACTTTATTTTTGTTTTTTCTTACTGTAACATGTAACACCTTTGTGGGAGCAAGAAGTCATTTGCTGCTCGAGCGCGTGAAGGTTTTTTTTTCCTTATCTGTTTCTCCAGGAAAGTGCACCCACTGCACAATGAACAAGTCATTTTTGTTTGAACAGGATTATCATTAATGGGAGAGTAAACTGAAGCAAAAGCTCTGCGTCTGACACGGACTAACCTATAAACCTAAATGTTTTTACCCGCAGACCTCTGGGTAATTTTTCAAAGAGGCTGGGGGTGTGTTGGGAGGAAGGGGTGAGGGGCATACAAAATGTGTTTGGTCCTGCTGCGCAAGGTACAAGCACAGAACAAAAAACGTAGAGAGAGAACAGGAGGGGTGGGGAAACACAAGGAAACATGAGTGGAATTCTTTCCACCGGTTATGGTGCGCAGGGCTGTGGTATGAGGCCACGCGGACTGATGTGTTTTACCTGCCAGCCTAACTGGGAGGGTAACATATCATTCCTCATGAGTTTGTCATCGCCCAGTGATTGATCAAAGGCACCTTTTTTTTGTTTCCTTATAAGTCGTGCAGCATAACAGTCAACATCGGTATAAACTGGATTATAACCTTTGCAGATAGTTATGGTGTTTCTGTCGCACGCTAAAGTATATTAAGACCAAGCCATGCCTGGCAGGGGGCTCCTAATGGGACCCCAATAATAGTTCAAACCAGTCCAAGCCCATACATGCCCCGGGACAGACGGGGTGCACTAAGAAGCAGCAGAGAGATTACCATCTACACATTTAACATGAGACCCGAGAAGCCAGAGACGGTGAACTCAGATACCCTCGCCTTGGAACAACACCCCTTTTCCTGCCGCAGCTCTCATGAGCTGCGTTACAGAGGCAACGGAGAGAAGGAAAAGAGAGGCTGGTGGAAGAGAAGGGGAAAAAAAATACGTTGAAAGATTTATTCTTTTCTTGTTCTCTCCCTACGCTCTCTCTCTCTTTCTCTCTCTCTCACGTTCCCCCACTCCTAAATTTGACTATTAAACAGGACTGCAAAAACAGAATGTTCTTGGCCGAAGCTCAACAATGACAAAGCAGGGAGGGAACAGGACCATACATTAAGCAAAGGGGGTAAAAAAATCCCCTTTTATCAGAATGTTAACTTTTAAAAAATGTGTGCGTAACATACAAGTTAAAGGCCAACGGTACAGATCTGCTACACTTCCAAAACATGTGAAAACTTGAGCGCGACTTTGTGCTTTCATCATTGAACTGTTCAGCTGTTTGAGCTTTCTCCTAAAAAGCTACTTTCGGTTGCTCCCTTATTCACAAAGGGCTGCCACAGCGGGCAGCTCCACATTATTTTATTTGGCAGATTTTTTCTTTCTTTAAAAAGGGATATTGTCTCCTCTCAGGATCGAACTATAGATCTTTTTGTTTGTTGGGCTGATCAGCAGTAAAAAAGACTTCATTTAAAGTCGAAATAAAACAGAAAAAAACGAAACTTGACAAGCTGGGAAGCCAGAAAACAAATGATACCGCTCCTTCATAAATTATTTAAATGAGTAGTCAGCTATTTAAATTACTAGAGTAGATTTGGTCAATACTAAAATCTGCATGACATCGCAACTTGCACATTGAACGTGTTCAAATCAATTTCAGACATCAGCCAAATAGCTTTCTTTGCCTTCCACCAACACACAGAGAGTTCCTCCTACGAACACACACTCGCACAAACTTTTACACGAAGTTAGCACATGTCCATAAAGTTATCGCACGACACTCAGTGGCCTTGTCTCCCCGATCCAACCCCCCCCCCTCCCCCCCACTCCATCCCAATTGCCACTTTCCGAGTCATCCATCAGTCTAGTTACGACTGCCAACTCTACGCTGGCTCCCCGAGAACTGCTGAGAGGGAGAGAAACAGGCAGGGGGCGAGGAAAGAGCACAAGAGAGTAGGGAGGAGGTAAATGCTGAAAAGGCAGCGCGGGGAGGGGGAAAGGGAGCGGGGAGGTGGGAGAGCTGCTACAGTTCGGTTAGATCGGATCAGAGTTGTGCGGTTTTTTGTTTGTTTTCCTTTTTCCTTTATTTTTTTTCCACTTCTTCGAGGGCTGAACAGGCAACCATGACAAAAAGAGCAGATGGTCGTGGCAATTAGAGATCCCAGGCAGCATCTTCCAGCATGAGGCCCCACTGTAGCACCAGGAGAGACCACCTGGATGACTCAAGGTGGGATACAAGCATATGGCACATCTGCCAGGTCTGCACCAGAGCTGGAAACACCTCCCCTATTGCATTACATTTTATCTTTGACCCAAGAAGGGCAGCTTCACGCTCCCTCTCTTTTTTCAGTTTGATTAAAATATTTAATAAGACGCTTGCACATTTGGGAGTCTGCGGATGTGCTCGTTTTATCTCTCGTTCTCGTTCTGGGCCTTTCATGCCCCGTGGTGTTTTCTGCATGCATTTTTTATTTGTTTAGTGCGACCTCACTAAATCAACTTTCTATCAAATCTATTTAGATGACTAAATAGGTAGGATTGAACAGTCTTAGCTTGTGATTCAACAGGCGTTTGAACATAGCGCTCGTTTGAAATTATGCAAACAAGATAACCGTGCTGAACTCCAAAATATCAAATGAAATTTCATATAAAAGAGCGTTCTTTTTAAGGCTATTCTGAAAAAAGGAAAAAAAAGATTGCACAAAGTAAACATGTGGTGAAGCACGAGCCTGAGGCCTGGTATCTGTATCTACAAGGTGTCCTTTGCAGAAGCCCAGCCAATCCGATAGTCTTCAAATAAACAGTAGTGTAACCTGTAAATAAACAGTTGCGGTCGAGGAGGCTCGGCTTTGCCCTGGGAGTTTGGCAGGGCTCGATCGCGAGGCCAGACACCGCACACACGCGGCCTCTCTCTCTCGCACACATAAACACACACGCGCGCGCGCACATATACACACGCGGCCCTTTTCCAAAAACAACATTTCTTGGCACCCTCCGTCCCTGCCACTTGTTTAAATAAACAAACCGGTTCATGAAGGAAGCAGAAACACAGTACCACGTATGAATCAGATTATCTGTTGTTACTCAGCAAAAAAAAAGAAAGAGGGGGAAGAAAAAAGCAGGAGAAAAGGCTTGTGGGTATTTTGGATGTGTCCACGAGTTCTTACACCTTCTCGTCCGGTGGGATACTTATCATACCACTGTAACGATTAGGGCAATTAGGGGTAATGGCAACAGAAATCTGGCTCGGCAAGAAAGTTTCGCAGTGCTTGTGAGGTTTCTCCACGCCCAAGTGTGTTGCTCGCCTGGATTTCAGAATCACTAAAACACACACATACACTCTCCCTAACCCACCCTCTTCGTTTTTGGCATGTTACCCATTCTGTTCCCACTAAATTGCAGAACACACATGCACATACGCACACAGTGTGGGTTAAATTAGCCACATAGTTTGGGAAAGTTGCTTTTTTCCCCCCCTTTTCTTTCTTTCTCTCTTTCTTTTTTTTTTTTTTTGGGATTACTGCGGTGCACGTTTCTAGTCCGCAAACACTTGCAGACGCGTACAGATATCCTCCACAAAAAAACAGTGCGCACGCGCAACACGCACGCCCTGCAGATGCATACCGCTGTCGACATTTCAGGAGGAGAAGCCTGTCTGGCAGCCATTTTATGCCGAGCGGGGTTCTGTGCACATGTATAGCACTCTGGCTGCCAGAGGCATGGGTCCCGAGCCAAGACGCATTTCAGCAGCCTGGGGAGGCGAGGGGAGGGGAGTGTGCGGAGGAGAGGTGCAGAGGGGTGGACTCCCAGAGAAGTAGGGAAACAGAAAGAGGGAGAGGGGCAGAAAATATCGACCTAATTACGGAGCGGCTCCGATGCGTAATGTTTCGACAATACAGCTGCTCCTGAGTAAATATTTGATGTGGCCGAGCAGACTTTCTGCTCAGTGTCCTCCTGCTTTTCTTTCCTCTTCCGGTGCGGGAGCCTCCACTTTGTCCTTCCTTGGAAATGCACAGTCCAAATATGTATCAAGTGCTTGTGTGTCTGCGTATGTGCAGCACAGGGGTCACGCAAGTCTTGACGGCGTGCATAAATGACTGTACATGTGCTGGTATGTAATATGTGTGTGTGTGTACTTTGTCCCGTGTCCTCCTCTGCTCCTGGTTTCTATCATTCACAGCTTTTGTCGATGACCTCACACTACTCGGGCTGGCTTCCAGCAGAACCTGCTCCCTTCTCCAAATCTTTTTCTTCTCCTCGCTATCTGTCTATCGCTGTCCCTGTGCCTGCAACAGTATCCCTCCTCTATTGTATCTTTTCATACCCGCCTCTGTGTGCATATCTACTGTTCAGCGTGTATCTGCAACGATAATGTCTTATCCAGCACGAAGTGCGCGCTCTCTTTTTATTTTCCCCTTCTCGCGTCGCCTTCTTTTAACACTTTTCTCCCTTTTTCTTTTAATGTTTCCATCTGTGCCGGTGCCCCCCCACGCTCCCGTTGCCGCCTTTTCTAATGCCCCCCATCACCCCCCACTCCAACCCACCCAACCCTTCTCTCTCACTCTCTCTCTTTGTCTCTCTATCTTTCCCTTCTCTCCCTCCCTCACGCTTTGTTGTCTAAACAAAGTGGCCTTTATCAGGATGAGCCGCAACCCAAACAAGCCAAACAAAAGATATGGGCGAGAAAATCTGCCCGCAGAAGAGGGAGGATCTTATCGTGCCAGCCTTTGTGTGCCAGCCTGCCAACTGGCGATGCCTCCCACCGACGACCCCTCCCTTTACACACACACACGCACCAAATTCTGGCATCTCACCCCCCCCCTTCCTCATTAGGACTCACGCATGGCATTCTGCATA